TATATATATATATATATATATATAACATAGTATAAATAAGAGAGAAAAATACCATCATTAACACATGAAGTATTTAATTTAAACTTAAAATTCATAATAACATAACAGTAGGCGTCATAAAGAAAATATCTAAGCTATATACAAAATTAAAAATACCAACAAAAACAAGAAAAAATAAAAAGGTATTGTTCGTGTGCTAAAAGTGATCGTTAGGCCTTTCAAATGCCGATTTAATTATATCAGTAATTACTAATTAGAAATTAGGATGAGAGAATATTGAATAGGTTTAGTTTGAGTTATGGGTCAAATTTCTATTAAGCCCAAAATAAAAAAGAAGCCTAATAATATTAGGTCCAAAACAAAAACAAAATTGCAAAAAGAAATAGGCTTTTATTGTCCAAAAAAAAACGTGAAAAACTGAATGGAGGTCTTAACAAATTGGAGACATAAAAACCTTCATTCCTACTGATTATATGCTCCAGAATGGTGATTCTACGGTTCCTACACGTGATTTTGATCGATGTTAAGTCAGATTCTTCTGACAAAATTTACTAATTAACAAAGATGATAAATATTTTACATTAATAATAATATAATTATAAAAGAAGATTTATTTACTCCAATTATAATTTATGATCGAATTATTTCACTCAATAATTCTTGATTCATATTGAATTTTAACAATATTCTCAAATAAACATTCTCAAATTCAAATTTTTAATAAAGTAAAATTTTTCATATACTAATCGTTGAAAATAAAGTAAAAGGATCTTTAAATTGCATTCAAACATAGGGTGATAGAAACAACCCAATAATCTTTGAATGCACATGTATAGACTAAAGGTGAGTGATTACATTTAAAGAGAGTTTAAATTGCATTCGAAAATAGGATGACAAAAATAATTGTTATGGTTTAGTTTCACCAACATGATGTTTTTAATCAGTGGCATGTTTTGAATCTGAAGCAAAAGAGTGAGAAGTGAAGACACGCACACACACCAACGTTGTTATTATCCTACGCCTCTCAAATATGTCAATTAACCTTGCAAACGGTGGTTAGCATACTCACATTGCCATTTAAAAGCGGTGCATTCAGAATCAGAAACATCATTTTCGAATTGTGTCACTTAACAGAGTCAGGCCTCCATCAAACTCAATGCCATCATTATCTTAATCTCTTCTTTCAACTTATGAATCAGTGAGACAGATCTCAATTACCAAAATGCCTTTTATGGTGAACAAGTTTTATGAAAGAAAAGTATATGTTGGAATAACATTGGAAATCACAAAAGAATGCATTATTATACTTCTTAATAAAGAATCTTTTTTGGCTTCTTAATAGGTGTGAGGGCACATGTTAGCATTTTTTATAAATAAAAAAAAATCCATGCACTTTATTTTATAGAGAAATTAAAAGAGTGAACCATCAACGCCTTTACTATAGGTGTAGGGCAATAACAAGTAAGTTTCTTAATGAAAGAAAAAATTAGTGATGTTGATAATGGATGATAAGGTGGTAAGTATCACGAAAGGAATTTTGTTAATGGAGATTGACAAGATCAAGGGATAAAAGGGAGATACAAGTGTCAAAAGAAATGTCAAGGCTCTATTATCGAAATCTAATGATCGTAAGTACTAATGCTAGAAATTGACGATGAAATGAAAAGAGGTATGAATAAAGTTATGAAGGAGACATTACATTACATGATCATATATAGAACACAAGTTAACATTGTTTGCATACTTGAGACGGTGTCAAAAAGATATGTCTTATGACCAACATGTGACTTGATGATTGTCCTTCATAGACTTCATAGACTCTATTAAGGAAGTTATTTATTTTCATTTTGGTTTCTGAATGTTAATTTTTCATTTTGGTCCTTGTTAGCATCAATGCAAGAAGAAGAAAGATAAATTTAAAGAAAAAATATTTGTAATTTTTTAACTTTGTTCTTTGAGTGTTCCATTTAGGTCCTTGTTGACATGAATGCAAGAAATTTTTTTAAAAAAAATTCTTTGATTCCTTGAATGTTTTATTTTTGTTCCTTGTTAATGTAGAATATATATATATATATATAT